CCCGTGTCAGCCCAGCCTGGACTCTCCTGCAGCTGGTATGACTCTGCACAGGAGCCTGGCTTGGGGTTACAGCACTTTGTCAGACACTCTCTGGGGGAAGCCAGCCTCCCCTCTCCCTGTAAGCTACTTCAGTAAAGGCATGCAGCAGAGATCACATTTGGAAATGATGTATTGAGGCTCCCTATCTGCCATTACTCCAGCTGTTCTAACAACTGCATGGCGCCTTCAGCTTGTCCCAGGGCACACAGACGGGAAATACACGGACCTTTGCATTTTCACTGACACGATGAAGATGTTTTATCCTGCTCCCTGAAGCTTGAAGCTTGTCACAGTGAATGAGGCTTCTCCCAAAACAATGCAGAAGCATCCCCGTAGCACATCAATGGAGAGTGAACAACTAGTTCTTCACTGCCAGTGCTACTGAGTCCTGCCCAGATGCACTAGCCTAGAGAACAGCTTCAGCCCCCTTTGCCTGCCCAAAGGCAGCGATACACGTTCTCCTGGGCAATGTAGCCATATAGATAACCTGTGCCGGGGAGTGCTCTCTGATTGTTAACCCCTTCAGTGCTGGCTTGCACCTTTGGGGGAAGGGGATCCTGAAGGGCTAAAGCCTGGCTAAAGCATGACTCCTTACCAACCCTCTGCCTGCAGCATGGCACAGCACATGTCGCTCTGTCCATCCTACACAGGGCAGCAGCAGAGGCAGATTCCTGCCCACCCCTCCCATCTTTGCTCCCCTAGTCAGTCCAGTCCCTGATTCCTGCCCTGCCACAGACCTTGGTGCCCTTCTGCCAAGTATCCTGGTCAGCCCTACACTTCCCACCACATAGATACCCTCCAGCCCTCCTTCGGCTCCATGACTCCCAGCAGCACTAGACTCCCCACCTGCGCTACCTACTCCCTGCACTTCTTATTTCCTCTTTGCTGGCAGCATCACCCGGCACCTGCCCCTCCCGATGGTGCTTCCCCATCAGTGATGTCGCTACACTCTGCCACACTCCTGTACTGGTGGTTCCTCAGCCTGGCTGCCCTCCTGTACCCAGAGATCCCAGCCAGGGGCATGGTGAGTGCTCCAGCTATTCAGAGGGTTCCATCAAGACAGAAGAGCACTAGAATTCAGAACTCCTGGGGTCTCCTCCCAATTCAGCAAGGTGACCGCCGGCAAGCCACTTCCACTCTCTGTGCCCCCCACCCCTCCCCGCCCTGCAATGGGGATTAACGATACCCAGCCGCCATAGGGAAGTGCTCGGAGTTCTGTGACGGATGGCGCCAGAAGACTTTGTTCTGATTACACATTTTCCCTGCTGGATTGTGCTATTCCACAGTACATTAGCTGTGGCATCGTGGTCGCCGCTTACGTAGCCCGCTAGTGAGTGTGTGTGACAGGTCCCCCCAAGGCTGATCTGCAGAGGAGATGAATTGTTCCAATCCCCCTCCTCGGGAGCCTGGGCTCTCTAGCTCAGGCTGTTAGCCCTGGAGGTCCCTGGTTTGATCCCTGGGGAGCCAGCCAAGAGGGTGGCTAGCATGCTTGCATCCCATTGTTCATACCCCCCTTATGCTGGGACCACTGTGTGTCTGTCCAGCGTGGGCCACAGGAGGAACTCCTCTGAGCTACCCCAGACATGCAGGGACCTGTCACTGACTCCCAAATTCTTCTCAGATCTCCCTGGTTCTCATGGGGGACTTCAGTCACCCTGATATCTGCTGGGAGAGCAATACAGCAGTGCACAGACAATCCAGGAAGTTTTTGGAAAGTGTAGGGGACAATTTCCTGGTGCAAGTGCTGGAGGAACCAACTAGGGGCAGAGCT